ACTCCCGCCAATGCGTCCGCGGCTGTGCCCGCGTCTGCCTTCCCCCGCGCCTCAGTGCCTCGCTCAACGGTGGCCGTGCGGTGGCCATGGCCGCCGGGTGGCGTGGGTGTGGTGTCGAAGAATGCACCGGTCACATCGGGTGCGCAGCACGCAGGCGGGAGCGCGATGGCGCTCACTGCGACTGGGTGCCCATCTGCATTCGGTGCGTCCTGGCCTGCAAAGCCACGGCCCCCGCGCATGGCCTTTGTTAGGTGTGCCACCGTCGCAGTTCGTCACCGACGCCCCAAACCCATTTCATCAGCGGTGACGACGGGAGATCATAGTCATGGAAGACCGTGTCAAAAATTCATTCCAATGCTTGTTACTGCCGTGCACCCCTAAGCAGGACGATTCTTCAGACGCGGTCCACCGGACAGCGACAGTGACTCCCCTCTCACGAACTAGCCCAAGTACGTGCCACACGACATAGCAGTCGAATCAGTGTCCTTCTGTGCGTATACCACCAGCCTTGACCGCCCCCCGTGTGGGCAACTGACGCCGCCCCCCGCCCCCCCCCCCCCCCTCCTCCTGGGATCCAAGTCACGGGAGTCGCAGGTACTGCGCCATCAGAGCAACAGCCATGGAGTACTTGGCCGTCGAAATTAAGGAGTTCAGCGAGGTGGGCACAACTGGAATGGGTCGCGCCGCGACCAGCGGCGCCCAAAGCGCCCGGCACAAGCGGGCCGAATCGCCCCGCATCATCACAGTCTCCAGGTTCACAGATGCCAGGTTGACTGCCGCCGGCGATGCGGACAGCGTGCTTGGCGCACAGGGCCGGGCCTGTCCACCCCTGGAAGAAAGCGCGAAGCCATGAACAGGGCTCGCCACCCTCTCGTGCAGACGGCGCCCGTGAACGGCACCAAGCTGGCAAAGCGCGTCACCCGGGACCCCGGCGCCGGCGAGGTGCAGGTGAGCGCGGCGGCGCCGAAGCCCGCGGCCCCCATGCCGGGCCCACGCGCCTCACTGTATGGCCCCTTGGGGGGAGCCCTCAGGCCAGTCCTAGGACGCTAGCGCCCATGGACGCCGCCGCGACCTGCGCCTCTGCTCAAACACTCGCCATCGCTTCCCCGTTCCATGCGTGCCTCGGACGTCCATCCACAGGTCAAGATGACGCTGGCCGCGGTCAACCCGTCTGACGTGTTCAGCCTCCAGGGTATCTATCCCAGGATGGGAAGGTGGGCGGGCGGCCCAGGGGTGTCCGCGAGATCTCCCTGGCCCTGCAGGGAGATCTCGCCAGGGCGGCAAGTTGTCATCAGCCGTGCTCCAGCACCCGACGCGCACGTCGCTGGCGTGAGCGCAGCTGACTGACGGCGCGGGGCAAGGGCCGCCCGCTGCAAGGCAGCTGTCCCCATGGAGCGCCGGGTATGTGGGGTCCTCGGAGCCAGGCGGCTTTGGCAGCGGGCGTTGAACGGGCCGGTGCACATGACTCGATCTGACGCGGAACATCCCATTGACTGCTGCACCGTGCAGGGACCTGCCGGCTGTGCCAGGATTTGATGGTGAGCAGCTTCCCCGGGAGGTGCACGCGCGCTCCCGCGTGGCCGATCGCCCACTGGCAAAACGCAGCTCCCCCGCCGGCCCCGCAAGTCAGCGCCCGCGGCAGGCGCACCATGCCCTCAGCTCTCACCCGGCCGGCCGCCCCCCTGCAGCCTGACTGTTCAAACGCACCCCGCTGCGCACCCAAAGGCGTCGGCGTTGTCACCAAGGTCGGCCCCGGGGTGGAGGGCTTCGCCCCGGGTCAGCGCGTCACCGCGCGGCCCTGGCGCGCCGACAAGGGGGACGGCAGCTGGCAGCAGTACACCACGATTCCCGCAAACCTGCTGGTGAGGGTTTGATGATCAATGCAGATTGCCGCGTGTATGGGGCAGAGGGGTGGGTGCGCAAAATCTGGCAGGGACGTGCCATCAGGGGCGCAGCATGGCGGTTTTCTGGGTGACAAGGCGGGTGGCGTTCATCCTCTTCTGCTGCCGCCGACTTGCCGAGCCATCATGGCCCGGCCCGGCGCGCGCCGCGCGCCAACAGACGTGCGTGCGACTGGGCGGCTGACAGCCGCATGACACTCAAATTTCAAGGCTGGTGGTGTTCCTCACCTTGCTAGTGCCTGGTGATTTCAGCTGTCTACCTCCGACCCTAAAGCTGCGACTGCGCTTTTGTCGCCGCGACATTCTGCAGGTGCCCGTGCCCGACGCCGTCTCGGACGAGGTGGCCGCTCAGTTCTATGTGAGGACTACTGTTGTCTGACATTCCTTGGCGCCAGGGGCCAGCGACCTGCCCCAAGCCACCCTCCTGCATGCCCGCGCAACACCCACCCTCGAGAGTGCCCAGCAGCTGGCAGACCCTAGCCTGACACCCCGTGCAGGCCCTGCGAATCCGTTTGCAATTGAGATTCAGATGCAAGATGCCTCCCCAGCTTCCACTGCTGCAACTTGTGATGGAGATGCGCCCGCCCCTCTCGCGCTTCCTGATCTCAGATCAACCCCGTCACAGTCGTGGGTCTGCTGGAGGAGACGGCGGTGCCCAAGGGGTGCGCCCCTCGGACGCGCAATGGCTCCGTGCGCGCGGGGAACCAACCGGCAGCCGGGCAGCGCCGCGCCGTCACCGCCGCAGCAAACCTGCAGGGCTGCATTGACCTGAGGGGCAGACCCGTCGGTGCATGGGTCCCCCAATCCTTTTTCTCAGCCTGGCGCTTCACCGTGCGGCCCTTAGGCCCGCCGTGCATGTGCTTGGGACGGTGTGAGTTGGCTGAGCATTTTTGAAAAGCCCCTTAGGCACAAAATTTCCAGCAAATCTACTCTGCTCCCTTCATTGGCCCCCTCCCAATGCAATGCCCTTGTGATTCACCGACTTCCCCCTTGCTGCAACCCGCTTTCCATATTTCTAGGGGCTACCTGATTGTGACCGCAGCCGGGTCCACTCTGAGCAAGATGCTCCTGTCAATGGCCAAGTCACAAGGTGGGCGCACAGGCCGCCGCGCCGCCACGCCGTCACGCCCTTGGCCTTGCGCAGCCACAGCCCCCTTGGCGCGCCAACGAACGGCGCCAAGCGTGTGCCCACCTGCCCTTGAGCCGGCCAGCGGCGCGCAGTTCAAAAGGCTTGCAGGGCTTCAAATTCCCCACTGCTGATTGCTTCCGCGCGCCGCCGGCCCCTGGTTCTGATCGCCCGGCCTCGTCTCACGACCTGGCCCATCCGCCGCCCCTGCCGCAACCTGCACAACCTGAGCAGGCATCAAGACCATCGCGGTTGTGCGGCGCCAAGAGCAGGCCCAGGAGATCCTGGCAGCTGGGTGAGCAAACCAGCTGGAGCGGGGGGATGCAGCAGGCGGGCCCGGGGGCTTGAGAGCAGCCTGCGGCCATTTCTGTAACGGAACATCCCTGGCCCCTTGAGCGCGTGCTGGTTCGTATGAATCCTGTTGAGCTGCTTGGCGGCTGGACAGCGGCCGGGGCGCACCGGGCACTGCGAGCAGCAGCAGCGGCGGCGGCAGCAGCAGCAGCAGCAGCAGCAGCAGCAGCAGCAGCAGCAGCAGCAGCAGCAGCAGCCGCAGCAGATCTTGGCGGCCTTGCCAACCTATCAACTCCCTCCGTACAAATACCCCCTCCGCTGCCGCCACCCCAGCGCCGACCATGTGGTGTGCTCAACCACAGAGGACCTGGTGGCGCGCGTCAAGGAAATAACAGGGGGCGTCGGCGCCGACGCCGCCGCTGACTCGGTCGCAGGTGCGCGCCGCAGCCTGCGCGTGTGGCGAGAACAGAATGATGCCGCGCGGCTCCGCCGCCCCGCGCGCCTGGCTCTGGACGCGCCTTGACGGTCCGCCCGGCGCCGCGGAGCGGCTGGCCTTTGTGCAGGGGAGCACGGCCACGGCTGCATACCCTTGTTTGTGGGCACCTTGGCACTTGGTTGAGGACGCTTTCACACACACACACACACACACACACACACACTCACACACACACACTCACACACACACTCACACACACACACACACACACACACACACACACACACACACACACACAATGCTGCCCTCCAAGGCCCGCTGGCGGAGCAGCTGGGAAACAGCCTGAAGACGGGCGGGCTTGTCCTGATATACGGCATCATGGTGCGTAGCTGAATACTCCACACTACAGCTAGCGCAGCGATTTCACACGCGCGCACATGCACTCATCACGCCCCGTGTGCACGCCGGCACGCGTGCTTGAACGCCATGATACTGCACATGCGCAAAATTCACCGGCGCTTGCATGCAGGCGTGAGCATGCCATCTGCACGTGCACTCGGCTTTGCTTGCATGTGCATGCTAGATTGCGTGAGTGACCTTCCTGTGCATGCGCACGTGCGTCCTCACATCAAGTTTGACTCCATGCCATCCTGCAGGACGGAGCCAGCTTTACGGGCTCAGCCATTGGGGTCCTCTTCAACGGGGTGAGCAACAATGACTAGCGATGCCACCCCCAGTCCAACAGCCTTGCATCCAGCCAGCAACACGCCAGCCTGCCCATAGGCGCCACATGCTCAGCTGCCAGCTCAATCACTCGCTGGCACAGCGCGCCGATGTCAGACATAGGGGTTCCCAACCGGCCGCAGCCATGCCACCACCTGCTGGTCCGACACTCGCTGACCCTCTAGAGTGAAGGCCGAACCCCAAACCCAACTGAACGGGATTCGAACCTGTGTTGCAGATCGTCTACAAGGGCTTCTGGATGGAGCCCTGGCTGTCGGGCCTGGGCCCCGAGGGCCAGGCGGCGGTGATGACCAAAACGATGGACGCACTGGCCGCCGGGGCCATGACGCCGGACGTCGGTGCGCGGCCTTTTGCCTTGACGAGCACAGGGCTGCCTGCGCTGCCGCGCCGCGAGTGGCTCGCGGCGCCCGCCTCTGTATTCATGCCTTGACAACACACACAGCAAGCAGGGCCTGAGTTTGGGGCCGACAGCACACAAACAGCCCAACCGCCCGTTGAACTGCTGCACAACCACTCCTGAAAGCCCCACCACAGTGCCCAAGCAGGCCTTCCACATGTCGCTCGATCTGCCCTGTCTGTCGCACCAAAACCTTGTTGTTCTCACCAGGCAAGGTGTACCCCCTGGAGCGCTACCAAGAGGCCGTGGAGGAGAGCGCCAAAACGGCGCGCGGCGGGAAGGTCCTGATCAAGCTGAACTGAGGATGGTTTTCTGGTATGTACAGGTCGAAGCTGATGATATGCAGTTCAGCCATCCTGGGGTAAGGGAAGCATGGCCCTGCCCCCGTGCACAGTGCTTGTTACTGTTGGAGTCAGCTTGCAGCAGCCTGCAATTTGAACCCTGCATGTATCAACGGTCTGCTTTGCATCTTGTGGGCCTGGGCGGTGGACAATGTCAACGTCCGCCTGCCGGCATTACAGTGTGCCGTACATTTGTGGTGTTGGTAGTGGCGCGCGCACTGGATTTTGCTGTCGGCAGCTGTTTGTGAATGGATCTGCCCAGCTTTTCCCCCGCACACAGGCCTCTCGCGAGGCCCGGCATATGAGTTGCTGCAACGTAAAGGCGTGGTACTCATGATCAAACGCACCCAGCGCGTTGACCATGATTGCTTGGCTGCAGAGCCGGTCCTTTTGCTGCATGTTGTGTACTTCTCAACAGCATGCACAGCTTCCTAATTGAATAGAAGCAGGCCAGATGACAGCAACATGGCGTGGCGTTACACAAAATTCATGACAAGTTTTGCAGCTGAAGCTTTGAGCCAAGGCACGCCAGCCCGCCGCGCGGCGCAGAAACTGTTGCGACCGCTAGCGACGGCACATAGAAAGGTTGCTTCGCGCAGAAAAAAGCTGTTCACGGCCAAAATTGCGGGGCCAAGGCCTGATCAGACGTGACCGGGGCCGGTTCGGGGTCAAGCCACTGCTCGCGCCGCAGACGCTGCCAGCCACCACCGCTGCCGCGCGCGCATACGCAAACACCGCCCCGCACCGACGTCGGACGCCTGGCCGACGAGGCCGGCATCCCACCAACTACCGTCCTCCGCAGCAGTCGGCCTCGATCCACAGGCCGCGCCAGGGCCCCAAAAATGCACCCCCAGGCGGACCCGTCCGCTTCGCCAAAGGGTGGCTCCGTGAGGGCGACCCAGCCCCGAAAAAGGGGGCGAGGAGCTCCCCAGGGCGCGGGGCGGGCTCACACGTCAACCTCCACGTCGCCGCCCTCGCTGACGCGCACCTTGAAGACCGGCAGCGGCTTCTTCTCGCTGAGCTTCCCGACCACGGGCAGGTTGGGGAACTGCGTTGTGTGTGTGTGTGGGTGGGTTGGGGGCGGGGCCGCGGGGTACGGGTTTCGAGGGGGAACGCGCGCTGGGGAGTTCAGGAGAACGAGGCGAGCGACAGCAGTGGGGGGCGGGAGCGCCCGCGAAGCTGAGGCAGCCGCGGACTGTCTGCAGATTGCGGGCGTGCGCCGCGTGCGCGCTCCGCAGGTCGTGCTGTCGCGCCACGACGGCCGGACGCACCTTGGGGCACCACTCGCCCTTGACCTCGCCGGATGCCAGCTCAAAGGCGGTGTTGTGCGCGGGGCACACCACGCAGCTGTCCTTGATCTGCCGTAGGGGCAGCGAAATAGGGGCGATCAATCAACGTGGCATGGTTTTGGCTAACCAGGGGCAAAGCTGCTGGCTGGGCGGGTGGCAGACCTGGTCCCTATCTCCATGCCATGTTGCAGTACGCGGTTTGATGGCGCATGCATGCATGCAGCAATCATCTGCTATCAGAGCCTGCGTCCGACATTGGGCGGCCTGCGCTGCCTGCTGCTGCTTGAGCAGCCAGCGCTGGCCTTGCACAGCCCGGCCCGATGCCTTTAGGCCCTCATGCGCTTGGGCCATGCAACACCACTGCGCTCGGCGCGTGCGCGCGCACCGTCGCGGTGAACAGGGCAGTCTTGCCCTGGAGGGGCAGGCCCAGGTGAGAGCACTTGTTGCTCACGGCAAACACCTCCCCAGCATCCTCGACGATCAGAACGCGCTGTGGGGGGTTTGGGCGCATGGTGCAGCGGGGGCGGGTTCGATGCAGCAAATCGAGGCACTGCAGCGCACCCCCAGCGCCTTCGGGCGATGCGCTGCGTCTCACAATCGCCGAGTAGGCAATGCAGTGCAGCATCGGGCTGGCGTCCCTGATCGGCGTCGTGTCCATTGTGCTGCACAGGTGACCGTGGCGATCGGCAGAGTGCGCATTCACCTGGCCCCCGAGCTCCGCCACAAGCTTGCCGCCAGCCGCCTGCAGCGCCGACTTGGTGGTGGCCTTCTGCCACGAGGCATGGACCTTGACAGTAGCAGCCCGCGACCGGGCCGCGAACAGAGCAGGGCGCTGGGCGGTGAGCATTGTGGTCGTGGTTTGAGCGTCTGGCGGAGATCTGTCGCAGGTACCGTAATCAGCTGCGATGTAGTTCTTATCGTACTACATTGCAGCCCGATGGGCATCCTATCAAGTTGATCCATCCTCCCCAGCTAGGCAAGCGGTTCTACGTGCTGATCTGGACACCAATTTGGCGCCGGAGCGCCGTAAGAGGCAGAAGGCGCTGAAATATTAGTTGAATTGAGCTGGTTTGCCGGGATACTTGTGCTTGGCAGCAGGAACGGGCGTGCGTGCGCCATGTCCCGCTGCAAACGCGGAGCGCGCGCACGGCGTGTGTGTTCCAGGGGCACATGACACACATTGTGATTGCGGAGGCGCTGCGGGACCTGCAGGATAGGATTTTCAGCAAGCAGGTGCATTCCATGGGATGCCAGGAGGCTGTCACCTTGCAACCCATGGCAAATAAGGTGAGCATACTAGTGTGCCACGGCCAGCCCATGCTGTTTCTAGGGCCGATACGCGCTGCGCAGGGGCTTACCGAGAGCTTTGTGTCGTGTCAAACTGCCGGGAGGGCGGGCTTGCTTGCCCAACACTATTGGAGCTCGGGTCGCAAGCCGTCCGCACTACCATACAATAGACATCGTCCCGCCTGCTGTATGCTGCCAACATCGCTGCAACTTTCGCCTTGAACCACACCAACATTGGCAACATGTATTCACACATATGCGAATGGCTGCGGGGTTTGACTGTCCGCCGGTCCCGTGTTGACCACCCACAGGATGCGCTCTGCCGCTTCATGTCGATCGCCTACACCTGTACGTGTGTATAACAACTGTAAACTCTCTAGACGTCGCCAACCATACTTTTGTCGATCCGTGAGCTTCGTGGCCTGCGCACTACGTTTTTCGCATGGCGAGTGTGGAACCTCCCGCGAATAGCATAGGCAGCAACAGAGATACAGGTGGTGACAAAGCTTCGCGGTTGAGCCACGATGGCGGCGGCGCCGGCGGTGACAGCGGCGACCTGCACGTTCAGGACGATGTGCAGCCTGGCGCGCTGGGGCCCGAGGCGTCGGCGGGAATGCTGGGAGCCCAGCACAAGCCAGCAATGGAGTCGGCGCGGTCGCTGAAGGCGCAGGTAGCGCTCGCGCGCGCGTGCTCCCCAACACGCACTGCTTGTACAGCGCATGTGCAGCCCAGCCAGCGCCCGCTCCTGCAAACTTGCGCCGCTCTCCCTGACCCAGTCAGCTGCCGGCACACACCTCTCAGCTTCGATGCGCCGCCGCTTGGCCCCGCCACGCAGCTGCCGTCCAACAAGAGCCCAGCCGCGGCACCCCGCCGCAAATCCCAGCCAGACCCGCCAGAACTCGGGCCCCCGGCGCCCGGGGGCCCGTCCCCAACGCCGCCGCCCGTTTCGGCGGCCGAGCGCCTCCGCGCCGCGCGCGCCGCTGCGGGGCCGCCGCCGCCGACGATAGGCGCGACGATCAGCCGCGCCAAAGCAGCTCTGGCGAAGGCAAAGGGCGACGGGCAGGCCGGCGGCGGCGGCGGCGGCGAGCTGGGGGCGCAGAAGAGCCTGGGGTGTATCAGTGACAAGCCGTTCTCTGTTTTTGGCAGCCACGAGATAAAGCCCAAGCCCCAGGTGAGCCAGCAGCGGGAGGGCGGCGACACGGGCGGCTCGCGCCGCAAGGGTCACATGCGGCGGCCTGCACAACTGTGAGCAGCTCGCTTTGCCCCCGCACAGGGAGCTGGGCAATGCTGCCAATCGGCGTCACGTTGTGAAACGGGCGCATCTGCGCCCGCACGCGCGCCGCGCCGCGCGGCGAGGCCCCCCACACCGGCCGGCCGCTAGCACTCGGCGCGCATGCCGTCCACGACGTGCCGCCATTCACGCACGCGCCATTGCCGCCGCAGGTGGTGGTGTCCGAGCCGAACGATGTGGAGAGGGAGCGGCGGCGCCAGCTGTACATGCAAAAGGAGGAGCTGCGGCGCAAGCGCCTGGAGCAGGTGAGGATGGGCAGTTGCGGGGTTGGTGGGCTGTCAGAGAGAGCGGATGCCCCTTGGTTTATGAACACAGGCGGCCCGTGTGGGTGGCAGATGCGGGCCTGCGTCTGCAAGTAGCGTGTGGGCGGGAGGGCGCGGTCGAATTGAGTGGGTGGCGTGTGCTTGTAGCTCAGGTGATCAGGCTGACCGGCGACGGCTGTATCAGGGGTCTGGCATGGCGAGTGGCAATTGAGGCTTTCCTTGCCTAGAGTGCGTGGCGGGATGCAGGCTGAAATGTACATGTTGGGGGCGCAGGCTTCGATTCGGGACGCAAGTAGCGCTGCGTTGAGGGCCTGAGAAGATGCGTGCCGGCCGACGCCCCCACTTTGGCGACTGACGCAGGAATCGGCGCGGAAGCAGCGGGAAGAGGAGGCGCGGAGGGCGGAGGCCGAGGCGCGCGCGGCGGAGCACAGGCGGAAGGTCGAGGAGCGCAAGTCAAAATATGTGGGTGGCTGCGCGGCAGGGCGCGTGGCCGCGTCCGCTCGGTGGCTGCTAATCAGCACGGGCGGCTGTGTGTTCGCCTGTCGGCCCTGTGTGGTGCAAGTGTCAGGAGGTGCTTGTGCGCGTTTTGCCTGCAGCAGGCTCAAATTTGCACCCCCAACGACAATGGCTGCCGGCCACCGGCTGCCCAAGGAGCCCCTGCGGTCATGCACGAAGCTGTGTGCCTTCCTCGACCCCTCCGCAGGAGACGTTCAAGCAGCGCGAGTCTGAGATGATGGCAAAGAGCGAGGAGGCCTGGAAAGAGTACCAAAAGGCCAGGGGTGAGGGGACGGGGGAGGTTGCGGCTGCCGGACGCAGGAAGCATGAGGAATGGGGGGGGGGGGGGGGGGGAAGGCCCCAGGGG